CACCCAGTCACCCCAGGCGTGGAGCACGTAATATTCCCGGTCACAGTCGAGAGCACAACGGCCCCGCGGCTCAGTGGTTGAGCGTTAGACCAAAGATCGCGGAATTGATTCTCCACACCCGGGGTTGGGTATGACTGACTGATGATGGCTAATAAGCCAGAAATGGTTATCCAAACCTCCCTCCTCTTTGCCGGTACCAACTAATCAAATCACATGGCAGCTATTCTGCCGCCAATTTCCGAACCCTTTCAATGTTGACAGCGGCGACAACTTGTCTTGACATCTTTGTTGCATGGCGTGATGGAGAAACGCGAGAACACCTAACGAGTACTCCTTATGCATTTGCTTACACCTGCTCAGTGCATGTAATCCAACTACCGTAAATCAAGCTTCCTTCAGCAATTTCTAACACACATATCAGTGGTTTGCGAATTAGAATTTTTACGGTTCAGCCTCTTCCTGGTTCTCTGAAGGAGTGCGTTTTATTATGCATGACCTTGCGTGATTTGTCCGATTTTCAACTTGCTTGTAGTAATTCTGGTGTGCTCTGATTGCTAGCTGTCTTAGCGAAGCCTGATGGGTGTGCTATTGACAGGATGTTTAGCCTTGCCGGCTGGAGATTTACTTTTGATGTAACCTACTAGTCGGAGCTTGAACTAATTCGGCGTCTCAATATTCATAGGGCTAGGTTTGACCTTGATGACGATTTGAATAGCTAGGATGCATGCCTCTAGTTTCTTCCCACGCTCGGAACCCGCAAGGCTTATAATGACCCACAACAATAGAGTAGTTAAAGTTTCTACACGGTTGGACATCACAGATAAAAGTCAGGGATGTGGGCTGATTAAAAATAAGGAGCCGGATCTTCGGTGGAGGCGGATCGAGTATGCAGAAACTCGAGGACAATCCCACACCGACCCGATCAGCTGCCTTCTACGGCTCCTCTACTACAAAAACGCCAGCGTTGACGCTGCAAGGCAGTCTCAGCTGCGTTGGCTTGCTGTGGCATCCTCGCGTCGTCTCACTACCGTGTTCTAGGTACTAAAAACGTCCAGGACCCTCGTTTTATTATTTTTCATCTTCTGTTTCCGAAACCAGCGATTCTTAGAGTCGCAACTGCTCTACCTTGCAAAGTCCACACTTTTTGAGCCATCAGTGCAAGGGTCTAATTTGTGTTTTTTTCCAAATGTTTTTTTTTTCATCCGCAGGCACACGCAGATCCACTGTTGCGCAACCTCGATGGCAAAACTCCCCTGGACTTTGCGGAGAACACCACTGCCCTGGTGTTGTTGGGTGAATTTCGCAAAGGCGACCTGCTCGAGGCCGCTCGCGCCGGCAAAGAAGATAAGCTGGTGGCCTTACTGACTCCGCAAAATGTGAACTGTCACGCGGACGATGGCCGCAAGTCAACACCCCTGCACTTAGCCGCTGGCTACAACAGGTGTGCCTTCTAGCAACCAATAATTCCTGTCGTCACTGCCCCGCTCCTCTTTAGACAATACATTTAACTGATAAGTGTTTCTGACAGTCTAATAATCAGTTCTAGGTTAGGTGCTTTCATCCATC